ACAGTTTTTTAGAGGATTAAACTACAATCATTTAGAGGTATGCCACTTTGAAATCGGATGTCTGTACGAACAGTTATGGGCTGAGAAGTGCAGGTTTTGGGTCATTTTTCTGCAAAGCCATTTTTCGAAAATTTGGAAAGGGGTAACACTGTAAAAATGACGGAAAATCGACCCCAAAATACAAACCAAGTTGAGAACACAGTTTTTTAGAGGATTAAACCACAATCATTTATAGGTATGCCACTTTGAAATCGGATGTCTGTACGAAAAGTTATGGGCTGAGAACTGCAGGTTGTAGGTCACTTTTCCGCATTTTTGAAAATTGGGAAAGAAAGTGAAGTAAAATATAGTATAGGAGTAAATATATGATAACTTATCATCATATTATTGTATAAAGACGTTCTCCGCGTAGGGCTATTATTCTTTTTGGAAATGCTAAAGATAGTAAAGATATTTATGGACTCCCAATCACGAATGTAGTAGGGCCAGAAGTTGATGGTTGGGCTGCTTGAGAACTGGACTGGACTGCAACCTGGACTTTAGGGCACTTGGTAATCGGGGGCGAGGGTCAGGCTGATGACTTGATTGAATTCGCATAGGCGCTAGATGGAGGCTCATAAGCAATGCAGCTGGCGTAGGCCAAGTTAGTTGGAGCGTGGTTTGGGCAACACGACGAAGACGACGACGACTACGACTGCGACAAAGGAGCACTTTGGCTCTGGCTAGCAGAATGACAAGCCTCTTGTTATGCACGAGCTGCGTTCTTGTCTGGGGCACATTAAAGACACATGAATGGCCCGGCAATAAATATTATTAAAAATGTTTGCCTTTATGGCATGCTAAACGCGATGGCAGCAGCAACAATTGCGACACTAAGCCACCATAAGCCTATTATTTAATTTGCCAAGGGGATGGCGGCGGTGCAAATGAACTTTTGAAGCGCCCGAGAAGTAGACAACAAAAAGGAATCTTCCGACCAGTTTGCAGACGACTCCGCAGGACGAAGCAAGGATGTCGGAGTTCGGAGGACGGAGGACGGCGAGTCGCGCCAGCATCATCAGTCATCACCCTCGCTGGAAGGCGACGACGGCTTTCGCCTCTCGCTTTTCGCTTTTCGAGGGTTGCAAAAGGGATATATATTCGCATTCGGCCGAACATACTTTATATTTTGGCAAACAACAACTGAAACAGACGCAATTCGTTACGGTCAGCTACAGATACTTGTACTGATACGCGGCAAATAGACGAAGACGATGTGCTGGGGTAGTATAAATACAGATTCTATAGATATATCTAACCTACCAGGGTTGCCAGCTTCGCTGGTGTCTCAAAAGAGAATGTTCTAAAGGTCAAGAACCGGAAACTGTTTAATTATGTAGACTCTAACTTCACTTACTTCTATTCCTAGACATCTATTTGAAAGTATTTGGTAAGCAGAATGTAGAATATTAAATATTTATGACCTTAAATATATCTCAAAAATTCATTTGTGTGTACTTAACAATTTCTATAAACAGACTACAGATCAGAGAATTTGCTCAAATAAATTATAGAAACACAGCAGATTTAAATCAAAATTAAAAATTATTTATTCTTTTCAAACAAATTTACATAGTTAACATATTTGTAATAAAATAGTGTTAGATACTTAATCTAATCATTACACTTATAAGTAAAATGTAAGATATGATTAAAGTATTTTTTTCACCGTTTAAAGTTGCCAAAACTTGAATGGTTTTCATTTCTGGCTATTTCGAGTGAGCCACTTAGCTAATCGCTGGCTGGCAGCACCATCTCTTTTGGGCCCCATCCACCGTCACTTGGCAACAGCGTAAAACTTTGATGGTCGAGAAGACAACAAAGTCCAGCAATTGGACATGGCAGAGTTAAACATTTTTCTGGAAATCAATTTACCGAGCTACACTTTCATGTTAAATCAATTGAACGAACTCAGGCGTGCGTGGAGTGTCACTCCTCTGGAATTCTGAAATTCTGAAGCTCTGAAACTCTGGAATTGTTGCTGGCGGAGACATGCCGCTGGTGACCGGTTACCGTTAGTGCGGATGGCATGGCCCAATGCCCGCAGCTCATCCCGCTAACAAGGCTAATTGGTCATGAGGCCCCTCGACTCGCGACATTCATCTCTGGAGTGGTCTTGGCCCTGGCCAAATCCTGTTTTTTTCCTGAGCTTCTGCCTTCCTGCCTTCCTGTTTTACCGCCCTGTCCACCCACCTGTCCACGCGCTGTGACACCTGTCACATCACACAATGGAAATCAGTCGACATTGTCGCTTGGCATTTGCCCCGGACGAGTCACTTCTGGCCCGGCCAAAACTGTCGCTGGCTATTTATTTACTCAAGCGTTGGCACTGGTTGTCCTGGTTTTTTGGTCTGGTTCTGCTACCGCTTGTGGTCCTGTGATGGATGGCACTTTCGGAGGAGGGATAGTATAGTGCTTGGATGGATCACTGAAAGTATAAAAAAACAGGGTGTGGAAACCCCGAAAAGTGAGTTCATCGCAAGTGGATTTAAGTCTTCATTCAATTCGCCATTCAGCCTTAATGGTTAATGATTTTAATGACACTCGTTCGCCGACAGGTATTCTATATGTGAATCATGATTCACGGCCAGACAACACAAAAATCCCAATCTGAGTTCGGAAATTTTTCTCGCCAGCTCTTTCGCTGAATTGCGATGAGAAATGAGCGCACAAAGAAGTCGAACAATAAGCCAAGTTTCGGCTGCCTTTTGCACCCTGTACAATTGAAGCAGTGCCACCCACAATGTCACTACTGCCTCCTCATGACCTCTGACCCCTTCCCCTCCCCCCACAGGCTGTCTCGCTCCCGCTCTTTGCATGTCCGGCATTTCGCACCAATTGCCATTAAATTTGCACGTATAAAGTGAAAATGCCAAAAATATTTCACGACAACGAGACGGCAGCAACATCAGAAAAACACCAGAATAAGCGGCAGCATCCCAACAAGAAACTCGAGTCACAACCAGAGCAAACATACACACAACAGCAACAACATCAATAACAACAACAACAGCAATAACAACAACAGGCGACAATCGACAAAAGTTGGCAACACGTAGTCGGGATTGGCTTTATGGCACTGGAAAAAATTGTATCCTCTAAGAATATTAAGTGTATCTTTTACTAAACTCTATTTGTAAGCTGTAAATAATTTCTGGGTTGAATAATAATTTCGATCTGTTTTTAAATAATCAAAATATTTTATGAATGCCAGATGATTAAGAAATTGTTCAGGTAAAAGAAAAAAGCCATGTAATGATTAATTCCCTTGAATTTAAATAAGATAATAAGACAGATTATATTTGTTTATAATGTAGTATATGAACAAATCTTTAGTCTATTGCTAAAGAAAAAAACCATGTAATGATTAATTCCCTTGAAATTAAATAAGTTAATAATACAGACTAGATTTCTTATATTGTAGTCTATTTCCAAGTGCTAATCATCTAGTCATTTTAACAATTTTGCTATTGTTTGAATCTATAAATAAACTAAAGTAAACTAAAAGATTTCCGAATAAAATAAAATTTACCCCCGGTTTCAAGTGAAATAAACCTAAAAGGATCTCCTTTTCTTTGAGTGCTGTTGCTATTGCTATTGGACTGTATGGTATAGTTGGATTGCTGGGAGCGGGTGGTTTTTATTCCTGGTTTTTCTTTATGGCTGATGCTGCCGACTGCTGCTGCTGCTGCCCTTGGTGTTGCCGCTGTTGCTGTTGTTGTGGTGATTGGTGTTCCAAGCTGGCAATGCGACAAATTCCCCGCTCAAATGTTCGACACGCGCCGGCGCAGTGGCCAAAATGGACCAAGGACCAAGAACAAGAACAAGAAGCTGGGCCAAAGGATGCCGGCAAAGCGGAAATGTTCAGTTCATTAGCGAAACGTGCGCGTCGTGTAATGGACGTGCCGGCTCCCATTTGGCTCTGAAAAGTATCTTCGAACGGTTGGTAGCACTCGCTTTTGGCCATCTAATCTCGAGTGTAAAGTAAAGCAAAGTGAGTGAGTGAGTGAGGAGAGCGCGCGCGCGACTTCTTCTTCAATTTTTGTTGGCCAAAAAAGCGGGGAGACAAAGCCAAGTGCGAAATTACCAACTTGGCTGCGAGTAATTAAATAATTAATTGAAACGAACAAAGGAATTTGGCAAACAATTAACTGGCTTTAATTATAGGAAAGGTCAATACTCAGAGCCGGCAGTCACGCACTTTCTGTTGGGGGGAATTTATCCGCAGTGCTGTTGGCCAAGAACCGGTTGGCCCTTCAAACCATATTTGTCGTGTGTGGCTTGTTTAATTTAGACACCTGTACCGTGGATTTTGACTAGGTTCACTCCAGAGTTTCCCCCCTTTTTTTTCATGTTTTGTCTTTTGGCCCAAACCGCAAAGAGCCGCTTGATGGCCAACTGACTGAGTAGCAAAAGCGGCAGCATCGTCATCATCATCATCACAGCCATCATCATCGGCGTCTTCTTGGCCAATTCTTCCTCTTCTGCTGGCCATGACCACGAAGTGGCCGACGAAGACCAAGAACTTGCCGAGTTGAAGAGCGTCGAGAGTCGGGTTTTTGGACCAAGTTACATGCTCGCTGCGCAGTCGACGTCGCAGTCGGCGTCGCAGAAAGCCGGCTTCCAAGCAGCGACTGCGCCGCAGCAGAGACGCCGACTGCGACGTCTGCGTTAGCAGAGCGCGTAGCGAGATCCAATTGATGAGCAGTTTGCTCAGAGCATTTGAGTGTATTTGCTGTTGGTTCTTAGCCGCTCTCTTCGACGTCGTCGCTCTCTCTCCGCTGCAAGTTGTTGCTGTTGCTGCTGCCGCCTGCTGCTGCTGCCTCTGCCGCGTCGCGGTCGGCGCAGCTGCCCGCGTAGCTTCGTACTTTTGATTTTCAAACAAAAAAAAATCGCCGCGCTACGTAGGCTATATAAATAAGCAGCGAGAAGCTATTGGGTCCGAGTCTCTTTGAATTTTATGAAGCGGTTGTATCTTGGTGGTGCCCCAAGCAGCCGAAACGAACCGCCAACAGAACCTCCTCAGTTGGCCAAAACCATTCTTTTGCCTTTTACCTCTCCAGCGGAACAGCGGATTACCTTTGCCCTTAAAAAACAGAAATAAAAAACTGTCAAGTGAACATCCAAAAATATAACGAGTTGAACAAACCCATAAAGTGCGCGAAATGTTGAGCTACGTGTAAAAGCGATTTAAAGGATCCTATAACTCTGTGAGATACAAATCAAAGATACAAATCGGGATAGAAAGTGGCTAGTGATCCCATTGAATTCTGAGAGTTCTAAACGACGACCAATCGTTCTGTTACTTGAGTGAAAAAGGTGAGTTGCGACCAGCGAGTGTCCTTCCTGCAGGATATTCTAGAATGTCTTGTCATAGGAGATTTACAAGAAGAGTTTAGTGTGATTTAAAGTGCTGAAATATTTTCCAAACCATTTTTTTTTAATTTTTGAAATAATGTGAATAAAAAGAATTTAGAGTAGCAATAAAAACTATTTTTTTTTTAATTTGAAAACATTAAATTTATATAATATCCAAATTTTTGCTGAACATTTAATACTTTTAAATTCACTTAAAATTAAATTGATATTTTTTTTGAGTGATACATTTATTGATGCTTTTTAAAATTAAACCTTCTGTACATCGAATGGTTTTAAACAATTTTAAAATCTTTGAAGTCTTAAATTTTTTAAGATTTTATTTTTAGATTTCTTGTATTTCAATGTTTAAGACTATGTGCACAGATCTCAAAGGAACTTCTTAAGAATTAATTAGTAAAGATAATTTGGCAAAAGGTGATGAGATGACTAACATCGCTTCAGTAAATTAAAAAAATACATCGCTTCTAATAATAATTTATTTACGGGCAATTTAAACCGGTGTTATGCACATGTGTGACGCTTTGCGCAATTGTTTGAAGCCCGATTCAATAATTATTCGTTTCCGCGACTTTTCCCGCATGGGGTTCTCGCCATCGATTGATAAGTCCCCACAACAGTGGGCCTTTCGAACCGGGTTGTCAACTCTTTCTAGGGCAAAAACCAGACCAGACCTCCCATTAGGGCCATTTCAGAGAGTGGTGATCAGGGGGAAGGGTCACTGCAGTTGCGCGCCTGCATAAGCGGCCTTTAATCTTTACGGCTGCCAATTAATAAAAATTAATTTGCCTACAACGAAATTAAAGCGAAAGCTAACCAGGCGTTAAAACGACCTCAAAGTCATTCATTCATAAAAAAGGAGGTTCGGTTCGACTCGACGGCTGCTGCTGGTGCAAATTGCAGCCATTCAGTCGGTGGCCAGCTCATTCATCCACAACTCACTGGCTGCACCACTGCACCACCGCACCACTGCACCGCTAACGTAACTGCCACGCGCCGAGGCCCAGACCCAGACTGCCTTTTGGCCTTTCGGTCTTTTGGCCACGGCCATTGTGCAAATAGTTTCCGCATGCACGGGCAAAAATGTGTTCTTTACAGAATCCATATTTAATAATGCATTCTGCCATCTTGATGTTGTGCATATTAAAATGAGAACTCTTTAATTATGGTGCTAGGTACTAAACAAATTATTCTTGCCACAGAAGTTCTAAAGTGCGAAAATAGAATTAAAATCCGTTTTGCTATTTTAGTTGTATTCGATTTAAAAATCAATGTAAATCCTTATTTACTAGAGTTTGGAATTTCTGGTTTTAAAACTTCTTCCTAAACTGATTTAAATCTAAGCTTAAATTAATTGCAAGGACATTTAAGAGGCAATTAATAAACCGATCTTCACAACTATGAGAATATTTTCCTTGTGTGTTTTTGGGGTAATTTACAAAAAATGCCTGCTCCTGCAAAGAGCCAACTCTAATTAGAATTTATGCCCACACCAACTGGCGCGGAGCTTTAAATGGCCAGCAGGCCAGCGTCGACATTTTTCCAACTCGTAAAAACTAAAATTGCCCGAATGTAAAAGCTTTTAGTTAGCCATAAATAATACAAACTATGGCTGGGCCACGAGCCCGACGAAAAAGCCCCATGAAATAAGAGCCAAAACGATATATTTATAGTAGTTACAAGTGCACAGGGAGGATGGGCTCCTGGTCCTGGTCGTGGTCCTGGTCCTCGTCCTAGTCGAGGTCCTGTTCCCCGCTCCTCGTAGCCGGGGGCCCAATAAAAAATGCAAATAAAACGCTACCGCAATATGTGACCATCGGGCCCACTCCATCCTCCAACTGGCTGGCAAACATTTTCAACCTGAAATGACTTTGAGTGTTATTTGGTTTGCCAGAGATTTCATTGGCAGCTGGCCAGAGAGTTCGGGCTGACATTTGAGGGCCCTGACCATGACTGGACTCCGCAGCAGCAGGTGTTTGGTTGTGGGTCCCTTTTTTATTTCGGGCCATGTAAAAGTGTCCTCTGGTCGGAAATAGTGTGATTTATAGACAATTTCTGAAAGGGGGGGCACAACAGGACAGGGCCAAATTTGACATTGGGTTTGTCTGCAGCGGCGCCAGCAGGAATACAGATTTATTGATGAGCCAACAGGAAACATGGCCAATACGAGTATCGGAAACGGAGTCTAGTTGTGGCTGCGGCTGGGTTCTTTCTGTGGTTTCAGCATTTTTCCAGATTCCACGGCACATCACAGCTGCTGCAGCATTTTAATTAAAAATGCCTGAAACTGAAATGTCTCCCGCGGAGTCAGGCAGTGCCAATAATGACATAAATGCCTCGACTTAGGGCACTTTAAGTCGTGTGGTGGCTGCGGTTGGGGATTGAATAAAAGCGGAGGCTTCAATGTGAGCACTTCTGCTGCCGCCGGGCTAAAAAGTCGGATAGGAATAGAAAAATAGATAGGCTGAAACTTTGCCAGAACTCCATCACTCAGGGGAGCGAATCGGAAAGTTCGACACTTTGTTGCCAGCGAAGTTTTACGAGCTTATCGCCGGCGCACGCTGCGTATGCTTAACTTCATCCACCTGAGGGTTTGATGAACTGTAGCAGATCCGCGACTTTCCATAGTCACTTTCAATATCGCATTAAATCATGCCTTTGTTTAGATGCTTTCTTTGTGGCTTGATTTGTGATTTCATATGTGGTACCGAGTTTGGCTTCCTCGAAGGAAATTATCATAACAATTAAAAGCCACTGCAGCCCGAAGTCGCTGAAACTTTATTCGGCTTCTTGGGCTGTTTAACGTTTATGTTAATTTATTTTAATTTTCGTCTCTTGGAAAGAAAGATAAAAGCAACTGCGGAGGGCAGCTCGCCTTCTCCGCGTTCTGCCGAAATGCGCAGAAAAAAGTCTTTAAAATATTTAATTGGCTGGCATGAAGCTACTATTTTAAGTTATGATGCGGGCCCGGCACACCTTGGCTCTGACATCAGCAACATCAAAACACCAGAACATCACAAGATCGCACAGAAAGGAGCCACCGAGAACCGACAAATTACATAATGATAGGATGGCCCAGGCTAATGTCTCATTGTTGGGCTTCCATTTCGCCGTTAGCCAAGTTCTGCTTTTGGCCAGAAAAGAACTGACAAGGGGAGGAGCCCCGTCACATCGCATAATTTAATTAGGCCCACTGTATGCAAATGATATGCTGCGCTAATTGAGTGAAAAGCTGTGCCAAAGCCTAATGAGCCGAGCCGGGTCATGCATCTCGTATCTAGTGGGTAGTATCACCCATCTGGTGTGAGTATCTCGTATCTGACGGATGCAAGCGTGACTGCCACACTCGGTTATCAGTTAATCCGATTACGACCGTGTCTGTGAACCCATAACACACAAAAACCGAGCCTGTCAATGGCCAATACCATTGGATTTTGGCCAGGGTTTATGGCTTTAAAAATCCAGCAATTATGCCAAACTCTTATGGGTACAAGTTGTTTTAAAGATTTATTTATAATTTTTATCCAAACATCATACACTTCGTATAGAACTTAACAAATGATTAAGTTCTACCATTTCCAATGACACAAAATCAAAGTAGCTGTTTTTACTGCCAATAAATCGAAACAAATGACTAATATAAATATGAATCACTCTTAACTACTAATAAACAAAATTAATTAAATACAAAATTAAATGTCCATAGCAAAACATCTTCTGCAACTTAAAGCCCAACGAACACTATTGGTTAGCTAATATTTTAGATTAGACAAATGACAAATGTATAGCCTAATGGTTTTTTCCCTGCCCCTGATAAATGTATATCGATCCATTAGCTGTTTTGAAATATTATCTATCGGCTGGAGATAACCAAAGATGCATGTTCAAGAGATCGACAAAGGCAATCCTAACAAATTAAATTGTGACGTTGGCAGTTTTTTCATCGCCTATTTTCACCTTGGGCATTTTCTGCGCATTTCAAAGGCACTTGAACGAAACCAAACCGAACCAAACTGAACATCATTCCCGCCAGCTACTTTTTGTGATTTTAAAGTTTAATTGAGTAAATCGGTTTATGTGCGGCATTAGCATTGTGTGACTCTTTCGCTTCTATGGACCCTACTCGCCGGCAAAGAAAGTAAGCGCAACTAAGCACATTACGACTAAGCGACGACACTTGTCTCGCATTACGCCCAAGTAGCCAAGTACCAAGTGGCCAACTACCAAGTGGCCAAGTACCAAGTAGCCAAGGTTAAATCGTGGTCTAGAACCGTGGCGCTGGTGGCAAGAACTCCGACTTTAAAGTGTGTCGTGGTGGGGCGCGAATTTCTCTAACCCAAATTGTTGTTGCCGCCTCAGAAGTTGGTGAAGTTGCTGCTGCGATCTGGTTTGCAGCCGATGCTTTCGCGTTTCGAGTTCAATAGCCAAAGAAAGTGTCAGACGGTAGAAAGAAAAAGTGTGCGGAACGAGCGGAACCAAATGGCGACATAGATTTCCACTGGCCCACCTGGCGTATGCGTAATGCCTGTTATCAGCCACAAACTGCATTCGGCAAGTGCCTGTTAATGGCCATTTCTGGGGTGCTAATGCAACCCGCCCACTTTAACCACAGGATGGCCATTCCAGGGCCATTAACGCGGCCGTTCGAATTTAAACCCTGGCAGGCATTTTGGCATGGCTCTTAGAGCTAGAAAATATAATTTGATTCAATTGAAATTGGCGCGCTTAATGGCCCATAAGGCCAAGTGGAGTAGGGCCAATTCAACGCGGTCAAGGTGTCAACGCGCACGATGTCTGTCTGCTGCACAAATTAAATATGTTTCGCTGGTTATTATTACCATTATCTACTGCTGTTGGCCCGAAAACGGGTCCAAAAAGCCAAAAACAGTTATGGGGCCAGCACAATTAAGCCAACGGAATATGGCCGGCGAATATCAGGGCCC